TGGGTGCAAGGGAGCAAGAGAGGAAGAGACATTCTATCAATGTCAAACGAGCTAGAAGGGAGGTGGAAAGAAAGAGTGAGGAAAAGCATGGGGAGTGTGTACAGACATATAAGCTTGGACTGTTTGAGGTGAGGTTTTAAGCCTTGGTGCAGGGAGGGTAAAAGGCCAAGCATGGCAGTTAAGCTGCCGCGCGTACTGTACAGTAATACTACTTGATTCAACAAGCACCTGGGGCCTGTTTTTATGCTGACAGGAGGGTGTTATGAAATTCAGCTTAAGGACTGTGCATTCTCTACTTTACACAACACAGCCCCCCTGCAGCATCAGGACATCTTAAAGCAACGGGTATTGTATTGTGTGTGTCCGCAGACGAACCTGAAATGCCGTAGACTTATGGAGACAGGGGAGTGAGGAAATTTTGTGCTGCGTCTTTTAATTTTTTTTCAAAGGACTGTTTGAGAGTAAAGAACTTGCCTTTAAAAAAAAAAAGGCATTGGGTGAAAGTTCAATATAAAAAGATCTCTCTGGTGTTTTTGGCCTTTAGTCTCTATTGGTGAATTTTCCGTGGCTTTTTTCCTGGCCGTACCTTTCTTTCCATGGTCATCTTGGGCCGCTCCCGCGGGGGCCCACAGGAACACGGTTCCTTGGCTCATCTTTCAGGAACAACTATACAATCCTTTACAACTTCATTGGGCCTACATTACATTAAGATACTCAATTTTACATTCAAGTTAATGCCTAATCGGCCAAAGTCTTTTATCTGATGCCACTCGATATCGTCGACAGCTCAAGCTGATCTGGTAGTTTTAGGGTTGAAATTTAAGGTTAAAGCATGTAGTTGTGATAGTTTAGGGTTAGCTTTACTGGGGCTGGAGAACGGATTATGTTAATGGGTTCCTCATCGAGGTATAGAAGTACAATCATGGTCTGTAGTCTGCCGTCCACAGGCCTGCGCCGTGTATACTAGCTAAATTTTACTCTCACCCATAACATTAAAGCAATTCACAAGCCAAATTTTAATTTAATTCACTCAGGCTTCCTGTCCAGCTCAAACTTCATGTCATTGCCATAAACGTGAGGCCTGTAAACACTAACATTTAACTCAATACACACACTATTGGCATTAAAGTCGCATCCACTCTCTTTTACCGTAATGGGCTACTATTCTATTTTAGGGTGACGTGGATTCGTTCACAGCGGTCATAAATAAACACAGGAAAAAAACCAGAAAGGAGTTGAATAGACGGTGAGTGGCGAGAAGAAGTGGGAGAAAGGGGGAGGAGGGGGAGGGGCTTGGAGGGACAGCAACAAGTAAGGTGGAGGAGTTGTTATATAAATTCAACACATCATTTAGGCATGCCAGGGTCATATAAGTCACTGATGAAGGAGGTGGGACTGAAGCCTCAGACCTTTTATTGTTTGTGTTTGTCTTTTTATTGCCTGTGATGCTCATCTAGATGGTATACAGTTAAACGACGGGGGAGGGCAAGTAGTACATGCGGGGAGGCGAGGCATTGGTTGTAAATGGGGCTGTGTGTGCATGTGGTGCCTACCTTTGGTTGCACCAGGATATTTGACACTTTTGCAAAGACGGTATGGGTTTGGTGGGGGTTTCTTTGGCCTGAATATATTCATTTGTGCACAACCTGACTCAGTCATGTGACTCGAATGAGAACAATCCAAAATCCAGCAACACAATTCCTCAAGGCCAAATGTGGTGGTAGATGCTGTAGATAAGCCAAGGGCCGCGGGAAAAAGAAAAAAAGCACGAAGAAAAAAAATAAATGTTCAAACATCCTTGAAGCAAAATACAATTATTCAAAACCCTGCACTCATCAAAAAACAACCTTGAAATGCCATTTTAAAAACTCCTAAGACCACTAAAATTCCCCCTCCCTAAACTGGCACTCACCATCACAGCTGAGCAGTAGTTAAATATGATTACAGATTCCCCTGTTTGAACGCATCTGCCCCTACATGTTTATTTACAAAAATGGAAAACCGCTGCCTCAACGACACCACCATTTTTGCTCCTGTGCGGAACAAAAACAACAAACACAGGCAGGGCCCCATTAATCAACAAAAACAAACAATGGTAAAAACCGGGCCCTCCAAGCCGTGTCCCTCGGATGGCAGTAGAAAACACCTCCTGTGTTGACATTGAGGTGCGTTGTTCTGCCTCAATCGCTTCTTTTGCTTAACTTTCCATTCTGTATTTGTGTTTTACATCCCTCAACCATCCACATACCAAAAACCCAGGTCTTTCTCCTTCTAAAGGCATGATTTGCCCAGGAATATACGTCCCCACTCTCTGTCCAATCTCTCTTCATCAGCTTCAACCTTCCTTTCTGGCTTTTCCCTCACTCACTCCATCCTTCTCTCTTTCCTTCCCTCTGTGTTAATGCTGGTTTTTGCCCAGGCAGCCACCTGCGAGGCCTCACTTGCTAGCCACCCCACAATTTTCGGCTCTCAGTCATGGCCCTGTGCTGGTGCGTTGCTGTGTAAGTAGGAGAAAAGCAAGGGGAGAAAAAGCACAAGGGCCGCTTACGACCCCTTCTATCACACCTAGCCCCCCACCCCCGCCCCCGCCCCGCAGCCCCCCCAGGCAAGTGGCATCATCCCAATTTAGCCCAGAAAAAAGGGGCTGCCACACGGGAGGGCACAGGGGCATGAAGGAAAGTCTAAGGGGTTGGAAGCCACAACACCCAAAAAACCCAGCTCTATCCAGTGCTGTTCAACTCTGGGGAGGGGACAAATCTTGGTTGTAGCCAAGTGCCTTTGCGGTCAGCACATAATTTTGACCATGTTTTTCAAGGGATAGGGTATTAATGGCTCAAAGATGGTTCACTTATGGGTGTCACTCACCAGCTTGCAAAAAAACGGAATTCCACAGGTTTACCGGGAACTGTCAAAGCCATTAGAGCCCACTTCTTAATAATGTAATAATCTAGCAGCTGTAGCTAAGCAAATTCTTAATAAATGATGTATTAATCCTGTTCGGATTCCTCAATTTGGGGCCTCAAGAGAAGAAACTGATAAGAAACTTTGTAATCGATTCTGCAACATGCTGGCATCTGTGCTGTCTAGGCAAGTTCTTGCAAACATGCTGATGTGAGCTACAATCTTGCCCCCGTTCTGTTGGGGCAGGGCTCTGGATGTTTTCTACATATGTTCCTATAAGCTGAAGGAAAAGTACAGCGTGTTATTACTCCTTGATGTACTGGTGCTGTATACTAATGTCTGTGTATGCTCTGTGATCTATATTGGTGCAGTGGATGAGAGTGAGTCTGGTTGAGAGATAATTTCTCCGTCCGACTCTCTTCCTCCTCCTCCTGCTGTGTTGTGGAGTCTTTTGGTATCATTTGATTCTATCTCTTTTCTCTCAACGCCCCGTGATCCTCCGCCTCCAGTCGCACTGCACTCATAGTATCACACATACGCTTGTTACACCAGTATCCAGGAGTATCCGCTGTACTTTTCCTTCACTTGGGACTTGCTAGGAAAATCCAGAGCCCCTTGGGGGCAGATTGTAGCTCAACATCAGCATTGTTGCAGAAACTTTGCTAGACAGCACAGCATCAGCATGGTTTCAGAATCGATTAGACAAAGTTTCTTATCAAGGTTCTCTTTGAGGCATAATTTGGAGGAATCCTGAACAGGGATTAAATACACATTGTATTAAGCATATTTGCTTAGCTACAGCTGCCTAGATTTTATTACATTATTAAGAAGTGGGCCCTAATGGCTTTGACATTCCCGTAATAAACCTGCTGGAATTCTTTTTATTGCAGCTGGGGAGGTGACACCCAATGGTGAACATCTTGATCCATTAATATCTATCCCTGAAAAAACATGGTTCAAATTATTGACCGCAAAGCCTGCTAAAACCAAGATTGTTCCCCTCAGAGTTGAACACACTGGATAAGCTGGTTTTTGCTGTTGCTGGCTTCCACCTTAAGACTTTCCTCATGGGCCCCCTTGTTCCACTCCCCGGGTGGTGGCCAGCCCTTTTCTGGGGCTAATGGGATGATGCACTGGCTCTAGTTTAGAAGGTCGGTAGCTTCCTGGTGCTTTTTCTTCTTGCTTTCTCCTACTACACACACGCACAGCACGATTGGAAGCAGCGTTGTCCGATTTCCGCACTCCACATTAAAGAGGGTTATTCACTGCGCTAACTTGAATACCATGATTTTATACCTTATGACAGGTGCCATGGTAAACCACGATAATCAGTGTTATTCACTTCACCTGTCAGTGCTCATAATGTAATGGCTGATTGGTGTATGTCACTGTTATGTAGATTTAAGTGTGATTTTATGTATTGTACAATATTGCCTGACAACAATGTTTATCCTCAGATGTTAGATCAGTTGCTTATGAGTGACTTTTACCACTTTTCTCCTCAGAGAAATCCTCTACAGATGAACAACGCTCTGCACTGATCCAGAAAGTGAGTAACATCTGTCTGACTAAACACAGCTTTCATTCAACAGATGTAGGTTAAAAATTATTATATTATTATATTGAACATTTTAAAATAATGATTGACCCAAATGCATGACTTACTTTTTTATATATTTATTTTTCATAAAACTGAAGCTGCATTCAGATTGAGTTCTTTTGCAGTAATTGTATCCAATAATAATAATAATATTTATAATAATAGTTTCTTTGAGGCACTGACTCATTTTAGTGTTGTGAAAAGAACTGCAGCCTGTAAAGAAAAAATAAAGAAAAAAGTAACCAGATTATAAGAATTAATGGGAGAAAGAGAAGAAATTATCTTTTGCTTTGTACTTTGTGTTTCTTCAAAAATGAATAATATATTAGGGCGCATGTAGGAAGAGTCTTTACTGCAGCAGCCTGGTTTTAATTCCAACCTGTGGCCATCCTCCCTTCTCTCGCTCTGTTCCCTCCTTTCTTACCTATCACCACCTTTCTTATCAAAAAAAGGCATAAGAAATAACAAAAATGAATGAAAAATAAATAAGCTAACCAACCATACTAAAAAAGTGTACGTACTGTAATCAATACAGCAGCAATTGTCAAATGAATCAATACCTTTTGTGATTTAGTAGAAAACCCCACAGCTATACTAACATTGATGAGATGTAAAGAGACACATTTGCAATTGTCCCAGTGAATAAAATAAATGTCCCATGAATTTATTTATTATTTCAGGTTGCAACAATAGCAGCTGTTAAACAACTGCTTTTGGAAACCCTGAATGATTTGAGTAACGAGGAGCTCAAGAAATTCAAGGAGCTCCTGAGGTTGATTTTCTCCCAGAAGGACCTCCAAATGGATTTGAGAGACACAGCAGACAGAGCAGAAATAGTGGATCTGATGGTGGAAACCTACAGCCAGCAGTCTG